AGTGGATTAGCTCTACAATACCCGTAACAAAAGCACAACAGCTGATGCATGTGATGTTAGGAGGTGACAAAACAGTTAAAGTATGCTGCTGGCTACAGGCAAGCAGTCAGCAGATGCAGACAAAAGGGTTTGTGACAAGAATAACTCTCTCTCCAAGGCGAGCAGTCAAGAGTATCCAAAATACCAATACCCTTTTCTCCTTGACATTGTCTTCTTACAGTCAGCATTTTATTGCCCTTTTATAGTAAAAAAACAAAACACAATTCTCTGGAATATCGGTTTTAACTTGACTTTCACAATTCTGTGATCTTTACATCTGTATTGCTTTTTCTATCATCCAGATTTACCACTTGAGCAAGAATTTTTGAAAGTTTAAAAGATTAAGTGTGAAGAAGCCCACCCTTAATAGGATTAATGACATGAAATACACATATAAATCTTCGAGCAGACCAGTGGCTTGTTTTGTAATTTGGTTTTGGTATCTTTCCCCTTTTCTATTAGAAGAGAATTAAGCGTCTTCTTTTTTTGCTAATGAAGAAATAAGGCTTGGGTAGAAATTAAAGGTTTGCTCGACAATGGGAGAGATTTAGGTGCTGGAAAGGGACTGTGAATGAGCTGATGTTTATTTCAGAAGTGTGAAAAATCAGCTTATATATCTCCAGAAAAAAAAAAAAGAAAAAAAAAGAGAGAGAGAGAGAGAGAGGCTGTCTTCTTTCTAACCTTTGTAATTCCCCTTCTATTCTCTGTGACATTCATTCAGCTGCCAAGCATGTTTGGCAAGGCTTGAGCCAGTGAGCGCACTTCCAGTGACCGCTAACCTTGGTATGTCCTGACACTTATGATGAGTATCTGCAGGACACAGAAGGCAGGCAGGCTGCTATGTCAGGCTTTTATTATGTACTGCAGAGGCTGGGGACAGTCAGTTTAATAAAACAAATCATCCTTGAAGGTAAAGCAACTGGGAAGAGGAGGAGGGCTCGGGGAGGGGAGGAGATGAAGGGAATGGGAGGGAAGGGAAAAAAAGTCTTTACTGCACAACCCAAAAAATAAATTAATTAACTAATAAAAGATACAAGATACAAGACAACCCAATAACGAGAAAAACGGTGAAGGGCCACTGATCGGCCACCAACTTGAGACACATCTACTTCTAGTGTGTAGCCTTCCTTCCCAACGGTGATTTTTAATGTCCATGCATACCATCAGAAAGGGAAGCCTGATCCTCTTTGTTAGCTTCAAATCAATGTTGCTTCACTGATTTTCCTCAAGTAACTCTGACTTAGACCTGCTGAGGATCTGCCCTCACCTTCCCAATCACTGCTGCCTTTTTGGTAATGTTTTCCTTGAAAAGAAACTCAACAAGTATTTTTAAAGCATATCACTTTCTGCAACTGTGTATGCTTCTGTATGAAAGAAGTGTGAGTTAGGTCTAACTTGGCTCCAACTTTTGAGCCATTGGAACTATACTTTTAATCACATAGAAATAGTTTGTGCTGAGTATTTTTAACAAAGCACACCCCCACAGTGCTATTCCAAACGGTTCGGCATGGTAGTTGCACATGCAAACCCAGGAGTGAAATAGTTCAGGTTTGTTGTTCAAGCCAAGGAAAATGCCAGTAGTTAAAACAGCATAAACAGACAAGAGCAGATGAGAGCTTTAATTCCCTCCTAGTTTTCATAGACGAAGGGGATGTGTGAACGTGGCTAAGGCCAGAGGAGGGGCACTGTGGTGGTTGTTAGACAGCTTTAGGAGGTATGGAACCAATGCGTACCAGGTGTAAATCAGCGTAACTGCACTGAGGCTGGTGGAGCCCTGCTGATTTACACTAGCCCAGAGTTTGGCCTGTGACTTTTTCCTTGGCAGCAGAGCTAAGTTATATTGACAAAGCATGCGGCAAAGTGTGATTTCTTTCTAAATCAGTCTGTTGTGGAGGCTTCAACCTGAAACCCACCTAGCCTCTCTCTGAGCAGACCTCATTGTCTTCCCTCCTGGTGAATGTACAGTGTGATTCTTTGATTGACTGCTGCCACCTGATGCTAAGAAAATGCCCTGGGTTCATAGTAGGGATTGTTGGTTCTATTAAAAGCAACGTAGATGGAGTTTATTTGTCACTGAAGCATTTTCTGCAGATGTTCCTACTTCAGAGATGTTCAGTCAGTTAGGTGTAAAGATGCGCTGAGTAGGTTGCCATCACTTAGGGTCAGGGAAATGCTACCCCCAGACACATAATTAACATGGCTGACTGATTATTGCCCAGTGAAAAATCTAACTACCCATCCATTTAAATATTTATTTTCAGGCTCTGGACTTCACTAGTATTTTCTTTATTTAAAAAAAAGACTACAACACTGTGTGGTTACTCTTTCTAGAAAGGAAAAATGTTGGCCGACGTACTATCCTGTGGGGATTAATCACAGTGCTATTCACATTACAACATGCAAAGAAATGTGTGTAATCCAGTCTGACATGAAAAATTGCTAATAACATCCCAAAAGGAAAGAGCTATGAATGGCTGTAATGCCTGAGGAGTAGGGGAGATCTTTGGGAACTCGGCATTATGAGGAGGTCTCTTCAAAGTCCCCACACAGCTTCACTCACTATTATGTTTGTGGGCTGCTCTCTGCAGCCTGTTGTCCTGGGTTCAGAGGGACCCACCCCTGCAGATGTGACTCAGGTACAATAAAGCCAGACCTTGAAAGCTAACTCCTAGCATAAAAGAAAAGTCTGTGTGTCTTTATGGGTGTGGGAGGCCTGGAAAGTAGTGGTTTCAGGGGTTTCACGCCTCCTTGGAAAAGCAGCACCCCCTACCTGGAGAACTTTCATACCCATAGGTGGAAACTGAATGGCAAGAGCTCAACTTAAAACCCAGGTTGTCACTTCCATGCTTAAAGTTGTCAGGGGTGTAACCATGTAGGACATTTTGCATTTGGGCTTTATGCTTCTCATGTAGGTGCCTGTAATTGCCTCCCTCCCATCTCCAGCAACTTGGAAGGGAAGAAAGGCATCTAATGCTGGTCTTTTGGAGTAGACACCAAAAATGAAATGTGTGAAGTCTTCTTCCCAAGTACAAATGCAAAAAAAGAACAGTTTTTGCTCCTGTCAACTAACATTGTGTACAGCAAAAAGTTGGTTATCTACTACATTTCTTGCTTTCTAGTATCATGTAGTTCACAACTCCTTCACCTTGGTTAGTGTCCAACAATACCAAGGGTGATGAACAGCACATGAGCAGTTGTTTGATCTGCATAAACAGAAAAGTTTGTCATTTATATAGAATGCGACAAGCATGGTACCTTTTGTAGACGTATTACCAAGTGCCCACACAGCAGAGTGGTTATGTGAAGTTTTAAGTTATTTCTTTGAGCTTTGTTTTTATAAGATGTAAAACATAATAGTTATTTCCTTCCCTCATAATTATTGCTGGAATAGAACATCTGTAAAAATATTTCTTTCTGTGCGGCCTGTTGAATAAAAGATTTCCACAGAATGCAGCCTGTCTTTGGGAGCAGAGAAAAACGTGTGAGGGCTGGATTTTGCTCTTGGAGGTAGACAGAGAACTTCTGCAGGCTGTGCGGCTTCTGGAAGCAGAGTCTGTCAGCTGGTGTCAGGGGGAGCTGATCTCATGCTTATCTGATGGCAAAACGTGGCTAGCAAACTGCTAGCATTTCCTCAACGGTGATCAGTGAGTGAGGCTCCAGAACTCTATCGTATCAGCTGAAACATGCACATTTCCAGACAAGTTTTCTGAACGTGGCTTCTAAACCGAGAAGAATAAAAGCCTGAAGTAGAGGATAAGGTGCCGGCCCTGATCTGGCAGTGTCACGTGCATTCAGTAAATGAGCGAGATCTGCCCAGGTGTCTGTTGGCCACAGGTATGGTTGAAGTGGCCCCTGTTGCATGTCGGAGAACTCCTCTTGCCGGAGTGGGCAAAGAATAGCAGTGAGGGAATACTTGCTATTATAAGCATGCTGGCTACTGGCCGGCTGTGTATTAGCAGTTCTAGAGCTGTGAAGCCATATTTCCGTAATAAAAATGGAAAATAATACCTTTATGGAGATGACCTCAACCTTGCAACTGACCTACAGTTCATTATAGTGATTGCTTTTGAGTCAGTTAAGACAAGAGGGTAAGAAGGTGGTGATGGTGCCTGAGACATCTATTTAGGATGAATTACCAAAGTTTGGAGGTAACTGTGGTTTTTAACATTCACTCATTGTTCAGGGGCTTCTGAGAGTGGCATGCTCCTGCTAGCCAGCCGTTTGGCTCACCCGTGAAGTGATAGTGACATCTAGAAAACCAGGATGAGTTTAATGCATCCCAGCCCAGTATCCACTTGGAGCACAATGAACCCACTGAAGAGGCTGGGGGTTTATTTGTAGACTTATGAAAAAGAAAGGAAAACCATAATGCCTTCTGAGAAAGCCATCTTATGAGGAACTCGTGCACAGCAGCCACAGAAGCAGGCTGTTAGCTGAAGGCTTGCCTGTTTTTAAATTATGAACGACATTCAGAGATACCCCGTTTGCTTTGATAGCTTTCAGCACTGGTTGTCACTGAAGTTAAGCACAGAGGTACAGTGGGCTTTCTGTGCATGCATAACTTTTATATCATTTCCCACAAGGAGAGGAGAACATAGCCATAAATGCATGGGTAAAATATCAAGCAGAGATTTCTCTTCTTAAAGACAATTGTGTTTGTTTCCCCTCCTGCTAATTATATCCTATAAATCCTCCACTCTCCAAACTCAGACAGTAACATTTTGTTACCTACATTCTGTCAGTAGACTTTACAAAGATCTCTAACACATGTTATAAAAGTTATTGCTATAGTACTATATATAACAGCTTTGCATAAGAGAATAGAAGGCTGCCACATTTAGAAAATGCAGGTGCTATGTAAGCCCCTTTCTGAAAGAAAGAACTTAGCTCAGTTTCCTTTGAAGAACCAGAGACTTGAAATTGAAAACTGTATTAATGCCATTGTCTCCTTGTATCAGCAGGTTCCAGAGAGATTCCTGGAAGTGGCTCAGATCACGTTACGGGAGTTTTTCAATGCCATTATCGCAGGCAAAGATGTTGATCCTTCCTGGAAGAAGGCCATATACAAGGTCATCTGTAAGCTGGACAGTGAGGTCCCCGAGATTTTCAAATCCCCAAACTGCCTACAAGAGCTTCTTCATGAGTAGAGAGTTCAGCAGCTATTTATGAATGTATGAAAGTAGCAGTCCCCTTCCGATGCCCAAGTCATGCGTGTCTCTATTTTAATTTCATATATATGTGTATTGCATACATATATATGTATATGAAATTAGACTGTGAACCCTCCTGGATTTAAGTTTTCGTTCAGTTCCAAGGGGATGGTTATTTTACTTCAGCCTTCAGTTTACTTTTGCCCGAGACCCTTAACATTTGGAGAATCAACGGGGTTAATTTTCAGGGAGAAGAGTTTGGAAGTGTGTAAAAGCCTGTCTTAGCAAGTTAGGGCATTATGTTTAAAAATGCTTTGTCAGATTTATTGCTTGCTGCAAAGTGGCATTTTGTCTTAGTGAGACTAATGTCATGGCACAATACTACAGACAATGAAGTTTATATTATGTTTATACTGCTAAAGGTCTGAACTCTGTGGAGTCACTTCATAAGCTTCAAGCTTTTTTTTTAATTTTATATACTTTTTAACCAATAACTAGATTTTTTTTCATACTTCAAAAAAACTACAACATCTATTTCAGGTACTCACTCTAAGAAGTGATACCCAAAAAAGCAAATCCCATTCTTTCAAGCTTTCCTTACAGAAATGATAAATACCCTGCACCAGTAATCAGCATGCCTGATTGTTGTTTCTCTAAATTGCAGCAAGGGACATTTGCACAAATCAAGTACCGTTCTTGCAGGGTGAGGCCAGTAATTCATGCACAATATTGTATCAACCACACTAATTTTGGAATATGGTCAGCTTATTAAAGCGGAAGCATTTCACTCTCCATAGAGTAAAAATGAAACCTTCAGCATCCTATATTGCCATGTCTCGGTCTTACTTTAAGTGGCATTAGTTCTTAAATTTATTCTTTCCTTAGTCCGTTCTGCCCCCTAAAATCCCCTTTCCAGCATACAAAGTTTTCTGTCTGTATTCAACATCTGTCCTGAAAAGCACTTTTTGGAATGATCTTAGATACAGTAGAAGCATCTTCACCTCACGGTTCTGAGGCAAAGGAAAAAAAAGACTTGTTTGTAGCTGTAAAATATAATTAGTCTTTTCCTGATCAGAAGAATAAAAATTACTTTTTCATAAAAATCTAATCAAGCATATACAAAAATCACAGTGTCCTCCTGGCTATGCAGGGTTCAGATAGCCAAATTGGATTTTTAAAATTATAGCAAGTGCAGCTTAAAAAAAATAAATCTGTTTGAGCAATGTGCTGCACTTGTCTTCTGAAGCTGGAGCTAGTCTTGCCCAAAATCTGAGCTACAGTGTAAAGTCCATGATGGATCTGGGTTCACCTGAATGCTATACTGCGATATGTCAGCAGACAGAAAGCAAGCTAGCTGCCAGGTCTCATGCTTTCTTCAGTGGCTCTCCTTTTGTCATGTTTTCAGAAAGGTATCGTCTCCAGAAGTTTGGGGGAAGGTTGAATATGCTATGGCACTCTGTATTTGTCATTTTCTCTGTTGTCTTTTGTACGGATGCAGTAAGAATTTATTGTTATCGTCAATAGTATTTTCCCCTACATAATTCAATCTGAATCTAGAGGAAGCTCCTAATTAGCTGAGAATTATATTTAGACCATTGAGGATATTGGTATCTTATTTCTTTATTTTAAAATTACATTTTGACTTTGGAGAGTGAAAGTTTACCCATGTGACTAAAGAGCTGACCTGATCATTGCAATTTCACTTCATTTACAAATACTGCTGATAGACAGAAATGTATGAAAGCAATTATTGTTAGCAGAAAGCCTTAAAAACCTGCTGACTTCAAATTAAACAGCACAATCCTACGATTCCCTGTCATTCTTTTCAAGCACTGGCAGTATCTGTGGAGTATAGGCAATGCAGACAATAGCATGGGATGAAGTGCCAACATTTCCACTATGCATTAAAAGCAAAACAAATCTTCTTGATCTTAGACTCCCTGAGAGTACCTAATACTGTACATATCCTTCCAGTAGACAGGATGTGTCCTCTTTTCTTTTCTTTTCTTTTCTTTTCTTTTCTTTTCTTTTCTTTTCTTTTCTTTTCTTTTCTTTTCTTTTCTTTTCTTTTCTTTTCTTTTCTTTTCTTTTCTTTTCTTTTCTTTTCTTTTCTTTTCTTTTCTTTTCTTTTCTTTTCTTTTCTTTTCTTTTCTTTTCTTTTCTTTTCTTTTCTTTTCTTTTCTTTTCTTTTCTTTTCTTTTCTTTTCTTTTCTTTTCTTTTCTTTTCTTTTCTTTTCTTTTCTTTTCTTTTCTTTTCTTTTCTTTTCTTTTCTTTTCTTTTCTTTTCTTTTCTTTTCTTTTCTTTTCTTTTCTTTTCTTTTCTTTTCTTTTCTTTTCTTTTCTTTTCTTTTCTTTTCTTTTCTTTTCTTTTCTTTTCTTTTCTTTTCTTTTCTTTTCTTTTCTTTTCTTTTCTTTTCTTTTCTTTTCTTTTCTTTTCTTTTCTTTTCTTTTCTTTTCTTTTCTTTTCTTTTCTTTTCTTTTCTTTTCTTTTCTTTTCTTTTCTTTTCTTTTCTTTTCTTTTCTTTTCTTTTCTTTTCTTTTCTTTTCTTTTCTTTTCTTTTCTTTTCTTTTCTTTTCTTTT